GGAGAAAACCACTGTGAAGAAAAAAATCTCAGCCTGTTTAAGGACTGTTTGCAAGCAGAGCCTTCCAAAGTTTTGCATCAGGCAGTTGCCAGCACTTCAATCAGTACTAACAGCAATTTTTTTTTATTGTTCATCTACAAGAAATTAAATGTTATTTTCTCACAAACAGTGGTTTCTAAGAGAAAAACATTGGAGAAACTAATGTTCATTTATCCGAAGCTATTACCCTGTAGCCAAGTGACACTGCCCTGAATAGTCTCTTCCTATCTGCTGTCTTTTCCTACCTACCATCCACTCCTTTGGTCACCTTGATAACAGCCTTTTGCCTGTTTTTCCCTTCCTCTCCGCTGTCTCATATCAGAACAACTCAGGGCTGTGAGTCCAAATACTGCCTCCTTTTCAGAGCTGCAACATGTCAGCTAAGCAGGGCTGTGCCTCTCACAGGTGAGGAAACAAATGCAAACATGCCAAGGTCCCCATCCTGGGGTGAATGTGTGTCCATGAATCTGGAAGCTGCTGTTCCAGATGGCATATGTATTGGTTCAGGCACTGCTCCCATCCCTCGTTTTCACAGTATTCAAATTTCATCTATATCAGTGTTAAGTGATAGCACTGGTCTCACAGCAAGACTGGTCCTAGGACCAGTCTAACCAGATACTACAGAAATAGTGTTTGCACTGAGAATGCTCAATTCTGTTTCCTTCTAGCTTTCTCCTATACTCCATGGATCATTAGAAACCAAGAATGTAAAATGCTTTGTTTGGCCTTGTGTGTTCACTCTTGTCTTCATTGGAGGTTTTCAGCCTTGTATCACAGGCGCATGGTGCTTCACATGGACAGATGCTGGCCAGAAGCAACCAGAGATATCATGGAGAGGTCACAGCTCTCATTTAAAGGATTATTTTCAGAGCAACTAAAGACACTTAATACATTAAGCTGAAAGACTAAGCGGTGATGCCATGACAGTGAATGAAGAATCAGAATAGAAAAATCTCAGGTATGAAAGAATATACTTGACAGAGAAAGGCAAAATAGAAATAGTGACTTGAAGTAAAAGCATCACATTCCAACAAAAATGTCTTTTTTAAAGGTGTGAATCACCATCTCGTTCAGAAAAAAGCTACTCAGTATTCTCATCTCTGAGGATGGCTTGACAGCAACAGTGACTTAATATGCGGGAAGAAGAGATAAAATATCAGGAAAACGCTCCCATGAAGTGATATTACAAGGCAGAGTCATGCTTTGGAAGTCAATGCAGTTCATGTGAACATGTGGGCAGGAAGAATTTTTAATCAATGAACCTGCAGAATTACTGTGCTCTGGCCAACAGCTACCTCTGAGTCTGCTATACAAACTAATAGCTGAATTCCCTGTCATCACACCTTATATGACCTGAAGTAGGACAACACAACTACAGTCCAGCTGGTTTCATGCAGTCATCCGTTGGAACAGGACTTCAGAGCAGCATGAGTGACATTAAACATTAGAGAATGTGTGCCTTACCCTCTTCTGCAAAGCTCCTAGAACTGAGGAATGGTACTTAATTATGAAAAGAATATAAAGAAAAGGTTGCAGATGTTGCAGCAGACCTGCACATGTCTAGTGTCCAAGTTGAACTGACTTGGGAGAGACAGTTGATTTGGGCACCCAAACCAACCTGTGTGATGCAACCAGCGTAGCTGAGTGAAGGGCCCTGTCTCTGAAGTGCTGACCACATGTCAAGCTCCATCCTGAAGCAGACTCCACTTGGAAAAATGGAATAAGGACCAATCGCTCTGCAGCAGTCACCATGTAGAGTGTTGAAAGCGTTGAGTGTGATATGGCACTTCGGTACATATGCAGGCATTCACATATGGCTGCACCTCACTTTTAAATGTCTCTCAAGAGTTGTATATTAAACAGAAGAAGGATTTTTCCAGGAACTAACAGAGTTGGCAGCCTTTTGTCTCTATTTTTTAAAGCAATTTATGAAAGAAAAGTAGCAGAGTCAATTTACAAAAGGCTGCAGTCTGGGTTTTGATAGATGAACAGATACACTAACAAAACCTCTCACATTTCACTGAGAACTCCACCTTCTTATCTCCTCATCCTGGTGAGGAAAGAATAAGGCAGGCAGGCAGATGAGCAGCTGAAAGAGCTAGGCAATGTTTAAACTAGCAAATAACTAACCAAGAGATCATTCTCCTTACATTTTTCCAGATCCAACCAGATAATCAGTTAAGTGTTTCCTCTTGCATTTTGCCTCCCTCTTGGGAGGGAATGAGTGAGATGACAGTGATTTACACTACAACCTGTTGTAAAGAAGTCCTATGTAATTTTTTTGAGGCACAGTCTGGCAGCTCTGAAGGAATAGTGCCCCTTCTGCAATCTAGGACGTTGCACTGGGGAGTAATAACAGTGTCAGAAGGTAGCATCAAGGAGATGATAGCAAACAACAGCACTTTTCCCAGCTGGTTATGCAGACCTGCTCCCAGGCAACATGTAGACTTCCTCCTGAGGATGTTACATGAGTTACACCTGTGTTGATTTCTGATGAAAGCATTTCAGCCATTAACATACTGTAATCTAGAACTTAAACACTCAGTAAGGGAAAAATGCCTTTTCATTTCCAGAAATGTACAGAGAAGGGCTAGGCACTTCGACTGAAAGCTTTGTGGAGCATTTCAATTGCAAGCTAGGATTTCTGAGATGGATTGTTATCTATTGGGATGTCCTTTCAGTGCTACATATTCACATGCTAATCTAGAAGTGGTGCTCACAGTCCCACCTCCATCAGCAGTTCTAATCTTCTTGCATTCTCAGCAGAGCTCCTATCCTCTGCACAGCCAGACATCCTTACGCTCATCTCTAATGCAATATTTTTAAAACACTGTTCTCATTTCTCTTCTAAATTTAAAACGAAAAATAACTTCCAAACCTCAGCATTTTTTTTTCCCCCCACAGCGAATTTCTTGATCTGCAACAAATTCTACAGGAAGAAGCTTCTATGCTTCATCTGCTCCTGTCCCTCAAAGTACAGCCTTCCTCTCCTAAACTGGAATTTATAATCCATTAGATTTTAATGTAGAAAAAAACACTAAGACTTGAAAAGAAAAAAAACAGATGAAAAATATTAATCACTCTCCTCACTTCAGCTAGGCTTACTGCAGCTTCTGCTGAAGTTCCTCACAAACACTATAAGCAACAACATACACATAAGAAGAAACAGGCTTAACTGGAAAAGCTATCTACTTGATTAGAAGGGCCTCATGTGTTTCTGTAATAAAACTACAAATATTTTTTTGCACAGTTAATCCATTACGTCACTATACAATGACAGAAGAAACTCAAGCAAGAGTGGGTGAAGGTAAACATAAGTAAAGAAAAGAGGTTGCTTGAGCAAAACTCGCAACACAAGTGAAAAATATTAAAGATAGCAGTGACTGCTGCCTGAATTCAATCTGCAGATCCCATGGGTTTTTTTTCCTCAAACCCCAGCTCCTGGAGTCATAATGAGGAGAGAACCTTCTCAAGTCAAACATCTTGCTCTTGTTCTCAGTCAGAAAGTGCTTGAAGAAAGCTCCCATTTAAAATATACATATATAATCTTTTAAAAGATGAGTTTACAAAAGGATTTTTGAGCCTATCTTAAAAAGCATTGCCTCCCTCCTGCTGGAGTGGTAGAAGAGAATGAATGCCCACATCTGCTGTGCTGCTGCACTACAGTCCTTACTCCTTCCCCAAATCTTACCCGAGCTCAAGGATCTGCAGCCCAGCTTTCCCTCTCCCTTGCTCTGCACTGCATCATTACATGAAGTTCCTGCATTCCCTCCCCCGTCTCTGCACAGCTCCACTGCAGTGCAGCACTACTAGAAGCCAGCAATACCAGAAGCCCATTTTTCCAGCTCTTTTCCTCACTCTCCCCCATGCTTCAGCATTGCAGCCGGCACTGCAGCAGCTTGCTAGCTTCCCCCATCTCTGCTCACAAGTTCTGTTTTTGCACTGCAGCACAGCAGGAAGCTTTGAGCACCACCACCTTTCTCCAGAGCCCTGTGGCACAGCCCAGCCCCGGAGCACCAATCCCACACCCTGCTGCTCTCTTCCCTGCTCAGCTCTTTCCATTCAATACCAGGCTGCAGTATTGCTGAAGCATTCACCATCTGTCATGCTCCTCAGTCCCTACCTTTGGTGTTGCAAAGATCCCCCTCATCCCAGTACATTCTCAGCCAGATTCTGGTTTGGAGTCCCATAAGATTCACCCCTCCCTCTACTGCCACTGCTCAAGCACAATTTTATATTCTCTGTATTTGTGCAGGAGTCTGCAGTCACTGCTCAGAGACAATATTGAAGCACACTTGGCAAGTACAGATTGTTTAGAGAGTCATCCTGGATTTACTAAGGGGAAGTCATGCCTAACAAACTTGAGTAATTTCTTTAAGGAGGTGACAATGACAAGGGAAAGGGTGAAGAAGTAAACCATAATTTAGCTGGACTTCAAGAGCCTTTTGATACAGTACCACATAAAAGGCTAATTTATAAGGTTAATATGTATGATGTTAATGGCAAAATACTCAGCCGAGAAGCTTTTTTTGATTGCCTTAACACAAAACTAGGAGGCAGGGGAAACCAGTGACTGATCACAGGAAGGGGAAAAAGAAACTAACACAGGAACTTCAGAATTTGTGCTTTCACACCCCTTCCTTGCAGAGAGTTTTCTTCTCATACTTTCTAAGAAGCTGCACAAAACTCACTGTAGAAATTATTAGTTTTGGTCATCAAACAGGCTACACTTGGAGAAAGGTCAAAGTTATATCCTTATTGTGCCTCTAAAGAACATCAAACATAATAAAAGTATAGATTCATGGCGCTTAATACAACGTACTATGTGAGATGAACTGGTGAAGTTACAAGCATATGAGGTTAGACAGATATTCAGATGACATTAAAAGGAAGACCAAGAAGAAATGAAAAGAAAGATTCATAAGTCTGAACACAGCCTTAGGTCTCTAAAGCAAACATACCTTTCTTGCCACTCCAGAGTCAGGTCACTGCTATCATTGGTTGTCTTGCTCCAGGTGATATCAGAGGTTGATGACGATAAAAGAGCAGGTTCCCTGCCTTCACATGCAGTCTGTGTTCTTCTCGGACATTAACATTCATCTGGCAAGAGATTAACAAACATATTCTAAAACTACCAAAGGATAGGAAGGCACTTCTCCATTCTGACATAGTTTCACTAGTGCAAGAGGTGCAATTACAAGACCCGTGGAAGGTCTGGAAGGTCCCTGCAGCCACCTCCAGCTTCCTCACAAACCAGGGACTGCAACCTGACCACTGCTCTCTAATACCAGCAAGCTCAGCGTTTCTCTTTTTTTCCCCAGAAAAAAAAGCACATCTGTTTTCAGTAAATGCTGTAAATTAGTTAATGTTTGTAAAGTGCTCTGATCATGTGAAGTGCTATATAATTACTACATATTATCAATATAATTTGGCTAGATTGTGCCTCAGCCGCCTCCTCTCTTCATTACAGTTTTGAGAGAGTTTTTTCAAACATCAGCTCTTTGGGGCAGGGACTTTGTGTGGCATGCATCTCAAAACAATCTTAACCTTTATTGAAAGGCCCCAGAAAGTAATTAACAAGATACAGCACTGAGATATGCATTTGGAGCCGTGTACCCGCCCACAGTACTGCCTGGCAGCAAACTGCCAGATGCCTCTCACAGAGGAGGACCAGCTCTGAGGGGAAGTTATTACCTCTCCATGTGTTGGGGGTACACAACTCAACCACCCAAAGAAAGCAAAGCCAATGGTAATGTGTACCAGACTTGAGCAAGGGCAAGGCCTCTGCATGCCATGGCTGGCCTCAATGTAGTGATGAGTAAAGCCCCTCATCTAGCTGAACTGCTGAAGGAGATGCCCACTAATGAATATGTCTGTTCATCTTCGTGCATTTGTTAGGATCCCCATGCAAAGCAGGGAATATAAAGACAGACATCCTGCTTCAGGAAGCAGTGAGGAGAACCATCCTCATGTTAACAGCCATGCATGCAGCCCTCAGGGGCACAGTGCCATGTCAGGCATCCCTCCCCTCTTGTCCTGTCCCCGACTTCCCTCCCCCCCCACACACAGCTGGAGGGATCCTAAGGACTACGCCTGCTGCTTGGGTGAGCTTCTCAGCCAGACCTCTCGGGTCTCAGCTAGCAATAGCTCTCACCACACACCGCTGTTCCAAACAGCCTGCTTCTTTATGCCTTCTTCTCGAGAATCCCAGATTTCTGTGGGCTTCAGAAGCAGAAGCTTTATGAAACTCCTCTCAGCTGCAGGCTAAAAGCTGATCAAAAAACCCACAGCTCTTTAATGTAAAAGAAGTGAACTTAAAAATACCTGGCTTAACTCTTCTTAAAAGGCACAGAAAGAATGTCAAGAAAAATCTTTAAGTCCGGCTTACAGAGAGCACAAAATCCCAAATGCTCTTTTTTAAAAAAGACAAAAAACCAAAACTGAGGCCGACACCCAGCACTGCAACCTAAAGGCTGCACATCATACCCTAGTCCTGCTCACCACACCATTGCTGATACAAGCCAGGATGCCACTGGCCTTCTTGGCCACCTGAGCACACTGCTGGCTCATATTCGCTGACTGTCCATCAGTACACCAAGGTTCCTTTCCATCAGGCAGCTTTCCAGCCACTCTTCCCCAAGCCTGTAGGGTTGCCTGTTGTTGTGACCAAAATGCAGGACCTGACAGTTGGCCCTGTTGGAACTCATACAGTTTACTCAGCACATCAATCCAGTCTATCCAGATTCCCCTGTAATGCCTTTCTGCTCTCTGGCAGATCAACACTCCCTCCCAACTTGGTGCAACTTATGAGGATGCACTCAATCGCCTCATCACAATCACTGATGAAGATGCTAAATATGAGTGGCCCTAGTACCAAACCCTGGGGGACACTGCTTGTGACTTGCCACCAACTGAATTTAACTCCATTGACCACAACTTTTAGTTAATGTTTGTAAAATGCTCTGATTGTGTGAAGTGCTATATAATTACTACATATTATCAATATAATTTGGCTAGATTGTGCCTCAGCTGACTCCTCTCTTCATTACAGTTTTGAGAGAGCCACCCAGCCATCCAGTTTCAGCCAGCAGAGCATACGTCCATCTAAGCCATGGACAGCCAGCTTCTCCATGAAGATGCTGTGTGGAACAGTGTCAAAAGCTCTAGTGAGATTTAAGTAGACCACATTGACAGTCTTACCTTGGACAGCACCTCCAAGTGGGAAAAACCATCATCCTCACTGCTGTCCGGTTGTCCTTGCAGAGCACTGTTCTGCAGGCAGTACGGGGAATTGCTGGGCAGGCACATCCGCATCACTGAGCAGGGACCTTTTGCCACTGCCTCCTGCCCCTCAATTCATCATCATTGTTGTTAGGGGGAGGAGCGGACAGGGACAGTGGACTGCAGCAGGAACTCTGCCTGCCGGTCCCCTCCTATTACTTGTTTGCAAAGCGGTGGGTGTGACATACTCCTTGTGGAGCCTAAAACTGCTCCTAGAGTAACTGCCTAAAACCCAGTGCTGGTAGGGATGGGCACCACTAATCTATTACCCGCTCCCTGATGCTCTTCAGCCTCTCCACTTCCTCCTTCAAATCAACCATAAGGAAGAGTAAACCATCCAGCTGATCACATCTAACACAAGCATCATCTCCACCACCCAGCACTGCAGCCAGAGATGCGTGCACTGCATGTCTGTGTAGAACTCAGCTAGGGACTCCACGTTTTTCCTGGTAATAGCCTTCCACCAGCATGCATCCATGACAAACCAGCAGCTCACTCCCACTACTTAGGGTGGCCCCGATGGCATACAGCTGATCCACTCCGCCCTGTGACCCAGCAGTGAGGGCTCTGCCCCACCACGTTACCAGCCCACCTACAAGGGCTCCCACACTACCACTGCAACAGCGACTGAGCTGCAGCTGCTCACTGCGCGGTCACGTGACCACACGGCTAACGGTTTCTCCACGTTTAAATAACGCGCGGTAGCCCCGGGCACCGCGCATCACGTGACCGCACGGCTAACGGTTTCTCCGCGCTTAAATAGCCCGCGGTAGCTCCAGAACGCCTCCCCCACCCCCACTTGTGTAAAACAGACCCAGCCAAGCCCGCTGCCGCCTCGCTACGTTGACACGTGAACGGATGGCTTATGGTTTCCCCACGTTTAAACAACCCGCGCGACACGCACGCACCGACTCCTCCTCCCCCCACCGCAGCCCTGAGGCTTTTTATAATGGCGTGGGTGCGGCCGTCGTTGCCTTGGCAACGCCCACGCCACGCCGGCCTTGTCTCGCGAGATCTGGCGGGATTCCCCCGGGAAAATGAAGCTGTCACTTCTGGCGCCCTCCATCTTTCACATCAATCAGAAAGACTCAAACTTCAGGATGAAATTCCACGGAGATCTGTCGAATTACTAGGGAACTAGAACAGAGAAAATATTTGTTCTGTGACAAGATGTGTTTGAAACTGCTGAAGTGAGGCAAAAAAAAAAAAAAAAAGACGAACAAATGTTAGTAGAACATCAGATCTTAAAAGTGAAAGCTGTCAGGCTGCGCATAAGTTGCGATTGGGAAGCTGGGAGAGTTCTGGAATGTGCAAAATGCTTTACAAAGCACTGACACTGCTTGTGTTGAACTGGCACTGCTGCCCGGAGCTGTGGGTGCCATCCCTGGAGGTGCCCAAGGCTGTGGATGGGCAGCCTGAGCTTGGAACCTGATCATCTTTGAGGTCCCTTCCAACCCGGCTGCTCCATGACTCTTGATGATGTGTCCTAAAGTCAGTGCTTCCTGGAAGAATTATCTGAGAAAAATCAGGATAAAAAATCTCTGAAGTGAGCCATTAAACATATGCAGAACTTTATTTCTGCTCCAGGATTCATGCACTGTAGCTTTGTTAAAAGAGTTGTTTGTTTCAGAGGTTTCTACCTTTGGACTTCTTTTCTGAGGGCCTCTCTCTGAGCTCCATTGGGATGGAGGGAAGCCTGGAATTGCTCCTATGCAACAAAGTGAAGCAGAGGAGCCTCATAGGTGGTTCTAATGATCAAAGCCACAGCTTCTTGCTCCCAGCCCAACACTAGGAGGCTCAGCAAATCCAAATACAATATTCAACCAGTTTCTCAAAGAAGCTCCTTACGTGAGAACAGGCTGGTGTTTATGAACATGTGCCACTAGGTCTTGAGAAGTTGCTCTTGAATTACCTCATTAATGCTTATAAATATGTAAAGGGTGAGTGTCAGGAAGATGGAGCAGGCTCTTAGTGACATCCAATAACAGGACACGGAGCAGTGGGTGCAAGCTGGAACATAGGAGGTTCTTCACATTCAGGCTAACAGAGCACTGGAATGGGCTGCCCTGGGAGGTTGTGGGATCTCCTTCTCTGGAGACATTCAAAATGTGTTCCTAGGTGACCTAATCTGGCTGTTCCTGCTCCAGCAGGGGATTGGATGAGATGATCTTTCAAGCTCCCTTCCAGTCCCTGACATTCTGTGATTCTGTGATTCTGTAATTGCCACGAACACTTTGTGTAACCCACCCGGATCTCTCCAGTTTCTGTCCCTGTTCGTAGTCACAGGGAGGACTGTTACTCTCCAATCATTTAGAGACAGACCAGGAAGCTTCAATATTTTTTGGCACGGCTGAGACTAAGAAAGCAATGGAGAGGAAAAAAATAGGTATATAAAACAGCAGATCAGATCGTCTGCTCATGCAAATGGTTTTAATGCTGCCGAAGTCAATGGAACAACGTCAATTTACAGCTTCTGAGGCTCTTGCTTAGTCTGCAGACCTGGGCCAGAAATCAAAGCACTAGTTGAAACACCTGGCTTGCAAATCCTGAAGGAATAGATTTCTTTGTAAGTTCTTGACTGTTAGGGCTGACAGAAGGAAGGATGTGTTCTTGGCCAGGCTTTACATGGTTGGAAGGAGAAAATGAGATTCAGTTTTTATTTTAAAAAATGGGTGCTTTGTGCAGAGGCAGACTCTGTGAGACCCCCTGCCTCAGACTCATATTTTGACCAGCAACAGCTGTCAACTTTTAGTCGAGCTTTGTCCCTCTTTGGAATGCATTCATTACTTCTCATTTTGCAGTGTGAGGGGGATTGCTTTAAGAAAAAAAAACAAAAAGTTCCAGTACTTAAGATTATAAATATATCCTATTAGGGTTTCTTTTTCTTCCCTTCCAGACAAAAGCGTTTCTGCTTCCAAGCTTGGTAGACCTCCTGACCCTGCTGATGTGGGTGGATGGCTCTGCATGTTCTGAATCATTTGCTTCCTTTTCAAGTGTTGCTTTCTCCTTATTTCAATTACCCTTCCTTTATAATTACATGGGCCGCTCCAGTGAGCGGGAGTGCTCTGGAGCTGACAGACCGTCTAACAGCAGGGCATGCTGGAGGCAAAATCTACATCCTTATCTGCCTTGGGCACCGGGGAAGCTGTGTGTTTAATAGCACAGGAGAAATTGTTCAAGGATATTCAGACACAAGCGATTGGTGGTGGGTTCACTGCCCGGGCTTGTACCAGGTTGGACCATGTGTAATTGCTCTCTCCCTCAGAGAGTTGTAAACTGCATGTACAAGGATCACCTCCCTTCATTCCTGCTGAGTGATTGCCTCTGTGGCACCAGGAGTCAAGAAAGTTTGGTCTGATACCTATTTGAGCTCAATGGGAGTCTTGTAACTAAACTTGAAAGAGATTAGTTCAGCCCCCAGTAGGTGCAGCCAGCATGGATGTGGCTAGGACAGGAAAAGAGGGTGGCAAACAGTGACTGATGCCTGGCCCTGCAGCTGCAGGTGTTTATGGATGTACAGCGTGGTGATTCCTGTGGCCAGGGATAACTGCATTAGATTCAGAGTTTTGCACTATGCAATTTCTCAAGAAACTTACTTTTTTTTTTTGTCCTGATTTTCATTTTATTTGCAACAAAAATGAAGTGGTTGGTTTTGTATAGAAGTCTTACAAAGTAGCAGACTTTAAATTGTGAGAGATTAAGCTTTAGAGGTGGAGGCTTAGATTTATGTTGCTAGTTCTTTCCATTGAAGCTGTGCCCCGTCTATTTTAAGAAAATGCTTTATTAAATAGTTTCCCAAAAGTTCAGATGGATTTCTGAGGCCACTTCCTGATTTCTTCTCCCTGTAGAATCCAGGCTCACTGAATATCCCATCCAGACAGTGCACTATAATGTGGTGCCTTTTAGTAACCCATAGGGATATTGGAAATATACCTATTTAATCAGACCTTAAAAGCCTATCTCCAATTGCAGAAGAGGTAGTGGAGCTGTTGCAAAAAAAAAAAAAAAAAAAAAGACAAAAAAAAAAAAAAAGGTGCATCCTGTGAATGCTTGAGCCGAAGGGTATTTACTGTAGAGGAAAGGATTTTTTTAGCCAATTAATTACACATTTCAAACTTAATCTCATATTGAAATTCTAAGAGGAATGCGTGTGGGAACAGAATGGGAGAGGGTGTCAAAAGGTTTTTCTTTAACAGCAGTTCCTGCAGTGAGTCATGAAGAAAGGGCCATAATTGTTCCTATTGTCTTGTGTGCTTTGGTACAGCCACCTGTTGGTTATTTGTGAGCTCATCATTATCACTTGCATTATTTTGGCTCTGTATGAAAGAGATTAAGCTGCTGGGGTTGTGTGGCTGAGCAGTACCATGGTACCAGAGGTAAGAACATAGAACTATTTTTCTCTTGATTCATCTAGGATTTAAAGGTGTATAAAATAACTTGGAGAGATGGTAGATCTCACCACAAAGAGAGCAGTTGAGCATCTTGCATGCACAGCTTTCCTTCCACTCAGTGTGCTTCCTTGCTTGTGCTTGTTCTGTGCTCAGCCAACAGGTAAAAGAGAGGCATGGATGCTTGCTCTCTACAAAGTGAGTCCAGGCTACTGCTTCCTTCCTGGGGACAGGAAGCAAGAGGAAGGCAGTCTTCCCTTAAATTCAGTGGGGATCAGAAAGAAATTAGTGCATACAAGCATGTCAGTGCTATTACACAACAGTCCGCAGTCACACTTACCTCTGCAGTGCTTTTAGCTGAAGCTGCAACCCGAAGTTGAGAAGGTGCAGAAGCACCTGGCGCTGCTCAGCTCGCACAGCAGGCTGCCTCCTAAATCTCACTTGGTTTGCAGCCTCAGAAGGAAGAGAGCAGGGCAGGGTGGAAGCAAAAAGGTCAGGACAGCTAAGAAGAAAGTGTGGCCAGAGATCAGGCTGTCTTCTTACAAAGACTTGAGCATTAAGTAAAACAAGGAGAGGTGAGGAAGAGCATTCTGCTATGGAGTGGTTAGGACTGACTTTTTTTTTTTTTTGCTTTATTGGAGTTGCCTTAAGGGTAAAAGGTCAGCACTATCCTAGACCTCTTACCCATCAGAGCTATCTCCATAGGAGCAAGGAAAGCTATGGCTTCTCCATCCCTTGTAAAGAGCACAGTGTGCTCTGTGCCTTGCCTTGGGACATGACTCGGTATCTTTACCTGGGGAGCGTTTCTTTTTATTCTTTTATCTTATATTTGGATGCAGCAACAGAGGCAGGGGACTGTTCAAAATTCCCTTTGACTTTTCAAAATGTTTCTGGGAGCCTAAGGTATTTGTAGGAGTAAAATATAGAATTACAACCTAGGTGCTTGGTTCAGACCTCTGAAAGGATCTGGCAGTGATAGGGAGCAATGGCACATAATACCTAGGCCTCTCAGAAGTGGCTGTGGATCACAGAACCTCTCTGAAATCAAAACCCTTTCCTTTCCTTTTAATTCACTATGAACTTATTAAATCCAAGGAAGTCTACAATGAACATGCGCAAGCCTATGGAATCCAGGAGTGAAAGACTTTCTTAAAATGCTCCCACCTTCCTCAATCATCTTCCAAAACTTTTAAGTTTCAGGTATATTGACAGTGCATCATACCTGCAAAGGCATCAAGTAGTACATCAGATGAAGAGGAAAATAAATTAGTGTTTCTCTTATTCGGGGAAACCTCAAGTTATGACAGGAGCAAAATCTTATGTTACACAGGTTCTATAAATAACAGAGTTTAGTTCTCTCCTGAGATGTGCTGAGAAGTGAGAGTAACTTCCTGGATTTTCTGAGAACAAAGAATCATTTCTCATCTGGGATGCCTTGAGGGAGGGTAAGAGCTTGTGGAAAAGGGTTAGAGGACAGAGGTCTGGAAAATTTGGGGCTCACTTCAGGGATTTCAGAGAAATCCAGCTCCTCAGCTCCCTTGCTGAATGACTTGGACAAGGGCTTAACAACTTTCAGTTTTCCTGCTGTAGAGAAAATGCTTGTGTAAAAGCATGTTTCTTCTCTTATCACCTGTGTCCAAGCAGAGGGTTAGTATTACAAGCACAAAATAATGAAACAATTTAAAGTTGTCTCTATATCTTAGTTTCTAGTAAAGACTCTTCTGCCACACGCTTTTTATCAGAACAGCTGTATTCTGCCCTGAGTCAGTTCCACCCCAAGTAGCTCTCAGCTTCACCTCACCCTGGGGAAATGAGAAAACGGGCTATGGGATAAATGTAGTTTTTCTCTCTCGGTCTACAGTGATTCTTCCTGCTTCATTCTGCCCTTCTGTGCCTTTTTAGCCTTATTCTTCAGCTTTCTCTCTTTTTTTTTTTTTTTTTTTTTGCAGATGCCATTCATCAAAATCTAGGATAGAACTGAACCTATAACCCAGAGCTAACACTGAAGTGCCAGACTAGCATAAGCTTTTCTTCCAATTAGAATGAATGAAAAGCTCGGAGAGTATTCGTTGATTCCATATCTTATATTTACACCATGAAGTCTCTTTGTAAATCTTTGCCCTGAGAATTGCCTTGGCTTTGGTTCACCTCTGCTCAAACATCAGAAGCTCATGCAATACAAAATCAGATAGCTTTGAACACCAAACCATTTGACATATTTGTTCCTCAACTGGACACAACTTCTTTTATAATCAGGATTTGGATGCAGGTGTTTGCTAGATTACGTTCTCTTTACACATACTGTGTTTTCTGCTTCTAGGGCCCAGGAGATCAAAGAGCTTCGTAGCTGGAAAAGTCACAGAAAGCAGCCTGAAACAAACGAGAATGAAGGAGAAACAAATTGCTTTACTAATATCAAGGTGTAGTTGCAAATTGCCTTTACAGTATTCTGCTTGCTCTTTTCCCAGCCTCATTGAGTATTTGGAAGAGGGCAGCTGATGTGTGGTACTATAATTTTTATGTCCTTGAGGCTTGACACCTTTCCCTTATTTCCATAAAATGGGAACAATGACAATGTTTAAATGTTAGAACATGTCCTTCATCGTAACAAAATCAAGATTTTTTCTAGAAGTAAAAATGTTCTTGAAGTGTGCTCATACTCACAGCTTTTTGCAGATGCTGTGTTCTGGGGACATCAGCTCCTTTTTCTTCCTGCCCAAGGCTGGGTCCTTCTGTGTGATAGGAACAAGTGGGCACTGGATTTGTATCTTCATCTCATGCATGAGATATAGAAAAGTAATAAAATTAAAATAACCCTTAGAGCTGCTAAGAGGTGGTTTTTTCATTTTGGAAGTCTTTGCCCCAGCAAATCAATTCACTATGTACTAAAGATAATTAGGGCATCTTATTTAAAACTTATGATCTAATTAGTGGCTTTAATGGTAGTTAATTACACAGAGAGCAACAAAGCAGTTATATTTCCTATCAGACTTCTTCTAAGTCAAGGTGCAGGTATTTATCCAGGGCCATAAAGGAGAGTGGATACCACACTTAACATCTAATTACACAAAATTGTCCACAGTAATTATGAGCAATGTGGTTTTATTTATCTGGTTTAATTACAGGGGCTCTGCAGTCTCTGAGCTGGCATGGTGACAGGGAGGACAGAGGGGAGATGAAGTGCCATCCCTTACATAACACCACGGTGGTACTGCAGGCTTTGTCCTGAACATGGAGCCAGATCCCAGCCAGAGACCAATGGAGACCCTGAGGACTTGAGTCCCATCAGATCCTGGGGACTCAGAGAAGCTGAATAGGCACATGGGATGGACAAAAACCTGCAATTACAGAGCTGCATGAGATATTTCAATGGATGTCTTGTAGCATAAGTAACCCAATGTTAACAGGAGATCTAACAAGGACATCTCATCTGTTTCGTTGTGAAAAGGTACTGCTTAGCCCCATATCCCCTCACATCATAATATTAAACTTTTTCTAGATACCATCCACTGCTGAAACGTTATGGAAGCTTTCACAGCATCTCCAGAAAATCAGTGTTGCACATGACCTCAAGACCCTTCAGTTTACATTCCTATATTCTCCTGTTGCCCTGTCTTTTCTCTCCCATAAATCAGTTATCCCCTTCTGAGCAGGGTGCCATTGAGTTGTAAAGTTTAGAACGATGTATTATTTACCTTCCAGAAAAATTGCTGGCCTTATTCCTGCAACCTCTAAAGACAGTATTTCCAACTGCTTTGACTTTATAAAATTGCAAGAAGCGGCATGTATAGCTCTACTTCTTCATTCATACCCTCAGGACATTTCTGTGTTACAGCAAATCGCTTGTTCAGTGGCTCACTAAAATTTTGAATTAGTGGTAAATACATTTTGACCTTATTTTTCTCCTGATAATTGCTCTATTTATAGAGAAGTCACTGATGGTCATGCTAATTTCTTCCATCTGAGGATTAGGCTAGCTCCATCAGAAATAATCTATGGTATATCCCATTTAAAATAAAGAAAAATGGTTTCTTCTTTAAGAATAAATCTGCTCTTGTTTTTTGGGGGGTTTTGGGGGGTTTGTTTTTTTTTTTCATAAAGCTAGAATGAAATACTCATTGGAGGAAAAGACAATAACTTTCACTGGTGAGTTAAGTCATCTTCCTCCCTTGGGTATCAGCTGCATTTGATGCCTCTGTTTTCTTGGAATTATTTGATCATCACCTAATAGGCCATTCTACAATGTTTTAGAGCCTTCACATAACAAAGTATCTACAGCCAGATATCCAAAAACACCAGTGTCTGTTTTCTCAGTATTGGGGGCCAGAGTTCAGACCAGCTTTTTCAGGGGGGTAGACTTTATTTCTTTTAACAAACACAGTCACCATTGCTACATCACTTAATTCATTACATCCCTGACCTTGCACAAACTCTGTGATTTTTAAGATGCCTGAGCAAGGAGTTCTCAAGGCATCCGACCCTGCTGTGTGCACAAAGGATGTCTGCAATGCTCTCCTTTCTAATCACGCAGAACTGCAAGTACACCCTGAGCACGGGGCACCTTTGCTCCTTGCCACAATGAATCACAGCATGGAGTGACTGCTTGCTGGGAGGTCCATCTCTGACAGCGACAGCTTGGTGGCCATAGCTTCTAGTTCTTATTGACACAGCATCTGTGCTGGTCGTAAATTTGGGAGGTTTTTATTCTGAGTGCAATCAACTGGCCCACAGTCCAGAGAGTGATGGAGGGACCTTGATCTCAGTATGCTTGGTCCCCACCGCTTGCATTGCTGGGTGCTTGCTCAGTCTTGAGTCACTACAGGTTTTATGGTTCAGTACCACAAAGCAATTAACGGCAAGTGAGTGAGCATTCCCAACCTTTGCTAAAAATCGTGGCTGTTTATCAATGTGTCAGGCTGCTGGCAGATTCAAGAAATCTAAATTTAACAGGTGACTGGTTCCTCCATGCCTGGCTGCAGTCAATGGATCTTCGGGAAACAGCATCCCAACCAGGCAGCCAGCACCAGCAGAGGAAGCTGGGGAGAAGTGAATGAATGGGGCCAGCTCCAGAGTTCAGCATAGGAAAGGCTTTTTTACACCACAGCTGCTTAATGACTTTTTCAATTGATTTCAGCAGTGCTGCTTTTCGATTACTGATTCCATCCCAACCACTGGGCAGAGAAATGGGCTTAGGGAAATAATAGGAAAAGGGAAGAAAAAAAAAAGTACACAAAAACTCAACACCAGCGATAACACAGTGACATCTGTCCAGACACTTTATGCTGAACTGGAAAAAAAGAGAGAAATTGCAGTTTATCCCATTGCTCAGCCAGTGTTGTGGAGACAAGTACACATGTCCTTGCTTGCTTGCAAGCCTCAGTTCATCCATGCACGTTGACCTGCTCCTTGGTTTGGAACCAGCTGCAGAAAGCAGCTGTCATCCTCTGTTACTCTGCCAGCTCTATTCTTAAGGCAGCCATCAAAGTCTGGCACTGACTGAAGGCAATTCAATTAACTGTGACGGTCAAACAGAAACTGAGGGTCAATTGAAGTTTTTGTTGTTGTTGTTTTTTTCCCTTCTTACTCTTTATTTTCATTCTGAAGCCTAGAGACAAAAGTTCAACCCTATCTTTGGAAGGGTTTTAGCAGGTAAGAATGAGAGAAGGATGCTGCCTACGTAGGAAAAGCCCGCTTTGGTGCCTCCTGAGGAAGGGGAATGCACATCTGGGAGTGGGGTGAATCTTTTCTCAGTCCTGACAGCTCTTATGCTGCCTCCTTAAGATTCAGAGCACCTGGGCAGTGGCTCCTTACTGGATGACTTGAGACGTGCTTCGGCTGAATCCAGTAGTAATAATTAAATATCCCTTAGCTTTCCTGCTGCCATCTGCTCTGTGCCCACCATGCTGGCCGTTTCAGGCTTTTATCAGGCCTGTGGGCTTATTCCCAGTGCCTGCAGAAGAAAGAGGGAAAGTAAGAGGAGGAGGAGGATGGGAAGGTATGAAATGAGTGCCAGGATGTAGTGCCAGGCACAGCTGTTTCTCCAGCTCCTGCTTTGCAGCCAGCCTCCGCAGTTCCTTGCTAGCGTGCAAATAGTTGTAAAAATAAAGGTCAAACAGATAATCTTGATAAATATTTAATAGTTACCGTTTTTACATCTCCCTTATTGTTATGGATTGAATGTCTAACACCTGTGACATCTGGTGCACACGGAGCTGGAAGGAAGCATATCCAGCTTCACCTGCACAAAGGGCCAGCTTCCATGGAGCCTGCTGCCACCAGCATGGCCAGCTCCAGCAGCCCTGCACAGCCTGCATGCTGCTGGCTCTGAACAACTGCTTCCACCAGCAGTGCAGACTCATCTTTATTCTTCAGTGAGGTCTTATGAGGAATCTGGTAAATCAGAGCATCGAGACTCTGGGTTCCCTCATCTCTCCCTCAGGTAATTCTCATTAAGGACCATCTGCACAGAGGTGCATTACGTGTGCTGTGGTTCACAGCTTAGGGTCACTGTGGGCACTCACTCCCTAGAGGTGGAGTTCTTTGATTCAGCATGTTTGTCATGGGATTACAGACAGATTTCTGCCTCAGTGGGTCCTTGCTGGACTTTTTCCCAGGTTAAAACCAGTCATGAGGAGATTAAATGAAACTTGTAGTGATAACACTGTTGACTTCAGGGTCCTATCAACCAGCCAAGTAGTTACAGCACAGCAAATGCAAGCTGTGCTTTTAGGGGATTGCTTGGCAATTAAGCAAACTGTGTACTTCCTCATGGTAGCTGGTAAGAAATCATCTGTCTTTGCACAGCAGATGAATACTTAATATACTGTGGGAGTTCTTCAGTTTGTCCGTGCATTAATTCATTGTGATCAATGGAAAACTCAGCGTGCCCTGCAATTGGCGTGTTGAGAAACAGGAATACATCTTACCAACTGTGAACTCCGTAAGACTGTGCACACGAGGTCTCAGTATCATCTTTACAATACGGTGATCCTGGATGAATCATTTGACTGGGCTTTGGAAATCCCTGGCAGTAATGGATCTCCACATGGAAGAACTAATGACCCTAAATACAAAATGAGTCAATGTGATAAAAGGAAGGGAATCCAACTCCACACACTCTGCTTTACATGCCCGGAGTCTTCGTACAGCAGATGAGAAATGCCAGCAGAGTGGCCTGGCTATGCATCACCCGTTTTGCATGGGAGCAATCAGTCCTCGTTTGGACAGGACAGCTCAGGGATTTAGATCCCTGTTCCAGCAGCCTAAAGACCCTTTAGATGCTATTTCTGTCCTAAATAGAAACTGGTCTTGGCACAAATAACTTTCCTGTATTCTTTCAGCTGGAACATAGCATTTTTTTTTTTTTTTTTCAACTCTTTTCCTTTCAACCTTTGCCTCTAGAATCTCAGCCACGCTCCTCCCTCCCTACCCCAACCCAATCATCATCTCATTCTCATTGCAAGGAACATGTCATTAACATTTGATAGTGACTCCTTTCCCTCTCCTTGGCTACATTACTTTTTTTTTTTTTCCTTTTGTTGAAGCTTTATCACCCTGTTTTAGAGGCTACACAATGTGAAAACTGGCAGAAATTCAGGTTCAGATAGAATCCAGAACTGGCTCTACACATGAATTTAAGAGGTGTCAGTATTGGGGTAGCATAACATGCTCCCAAATAGCCTGACACAAATAGGGTGAGCATCAATGGCAGTTGAAGAGTCATTCAAATACTGCTTGAAGTCCTTAACAAAAAAGAAAGACTTGGTTTTGACTGTGATGGGAAATAGTCTTCTGGCAATATTTCAACTGGCTGCTGAGACGTGTTAGTACTGCAAACTTGCATTATGCCAGAAAGGCAGCACAGCCTCTGTTCAGCAGCTAATGGTCACATATGGTATCAGGGTGGTGACCTCGGGGTGGTTCAAGGTAGGCGTTAATGTCATCAAAGCAGTGTCAGAAAACTTAGACCTGGAGCTTACGTATGAAGTCATGACCATTTTTTTTCCTTTTTTTTCTTTTTTTTTCTTTTTGTGGGAGTTGTCAGGAACTCTTTGGAAGTGACCTATAAATGGGTATCAGCAGTATCTCTCATTAAAAAATTGTTCAGTAAACACTTCAGGAGCATAAGTCTAAACAACAGCTCCTAGGTAAGCAAAGAAATCTCATTTCCCAGCCTGCTTGCAAGCATCCCTCTGTACCCAGCTATCCAAGTCACTTCTGACAGAGCATCGCTGGCCGTTTCACTTGTCAGGTGGATTGTTCAGGTACTTTTGCTGATTGGATACTGCATAATCAATGAATATAAAGATATCATCATTATGAAGTAAACCGGAGATTTTGGCTAAGCAGGTTATAATAACAAAAAGAATGGATAGAATACTTACCCATATCCGGGGCTCACTGTAAATCTCCAAAGGAGGGATCTCCAGAAGGAAATCCTTCCCCACTGGTAGTCAGCTCTTAAATGGGTCTCAGAGAAGTGCAGCCAGGCTCCACCCCTTCTGGCAGTGCAGGTGAATTGCCTTCACCTGTGCTTCCAGGGCTGCCTCATTGCTCACCTCAGGCGACCAGAGGTTCAGGCCATGATTCAGCAGTTCCCATACAGATACCCAAAGTTTTAGAAATAGGAGAAAATCAATTAAATGCTATGGTATCCCTATAAATAAAGAATGAAAACAGACAAACAAGCAAACAACTTTTGCCTGTGAAGCCTTGCAAAATAGTCATTTAAGTGCATGCCCTATCTTCACTTTCTTAAAACATTCTTTAAACAGGGTTTTACTATCTCACTCAGTCAGTGTTCACAGAAAGAAAAAAAAAAAGATAAAATAGGTCAGAAATGCAACTGGAACAAATGTGTTTGAATAAAAGAAAGCCAAGCAAACATTGCAGGTACCAGAACTGTGCAAACACAGCAAATAACACAGATCTTCCCCTCAGGAGAAGAACAATATGCAGAAGTCTTGATAGTTTAGTTCACTTAGCAGGAAAATGGTTGTGTCCTACAATTATACACCCTTTAACTCCTGAGGGAATCAGTCACTGTGTGGTGTGCAGGTAGGAGGGGACACGTGAGAGTCAGTCAGTTGTGACATTTGACTTCTGTGAGATAGAGCAGCCTTGTGGCAGCTCTGAATTGGTCTGTAATAAGAATTTCATTGAAGAGCCAGGGATCACTGCAGTGTACTGTAAGATAAATGGGGCTCCAGTGTCCCCATGTACTGAAAACCCAGAAAATCCCATGCACTGTTATTACAAGGAAGTAACTTCTAACACATATGCCTATCTTCTGTCCTTGATGCTGTTCCAAGGACATCCCAAGTAGGTCTTCTGGAATAGCCAGCCTTGTGTGAACAAAAATATGGATGTTAATGTAAAGTGTGCCTACCGCCTCTGAAGCTGTGTGCTTTTGTGTGTGACTTTAACAGGCGTGACAACACTTCCCTCGTGCAGGTATTGCTGCTTTCGTCCAGGTGGAGATATCAGCTGCCCTTTCCATGCCCCATTCTCACCACTGCTTCTATTTAAGAGTTGGGAAGGCCACATCATCACGCTGATATACATCTGCACATCCACTGAGAACAGTTTCTAAAAGCCTATCCAAACGGTATTTCCTTCTCCTTTTGTCCCCATGACTTCCTCCAGAGGAGCAGAGCAGCTGAGGGACTTGCACTGAATCCTTGTCTGTGGCTCCCTCTGAGCTTGCTGTCTTTCACTTATTGAATTAGGATAAATTGGAACTTTCATAAAGGGTGATATAAATCATTATCTCAAGTTAGCAGATGTGGACTCACCAGGGTAGAGCTGTGTTAATAACTCCTTCAGATTAGGGCTGATTGGTACAATTTGAAACTTGTTTCTCTCAGCTTGATCAGTCTAGTTGTAACTGTGGCAATTATCCCATTTCACTTTCAATAGCTCAGCACAGAGGAGCTGCTGCCTCCAATCCATCCCTCTGTAATGAATCCAGTGTGATATTCTTGGTCCCATGGACAGATATACCCTGTCACCCCCAGCTCCAAAAGAAGCATTAAAAAAAATAAATCCTGTATCCAGATGACACGTAGGAATGTGTCTTTTAGGGAGTGAGATGCTAAGTGTCCATGTAAACATCATTTAGGTATTTGGCCGTTGAAAAGACTCTCTTCATTCTTACAGCATCACTTGCACTTTTTGGCAGTCTTCCTGCCTGGGAAATTAGATGAAAAAATGGGGTTTTGTCCAAGCATTGAAGCTGCTTGAATAGATTCTGATGAATGTGTTACATGCTGGATTTGTGGGGTTTTGTTAAATAACTTACATAGTGATTTTTTTTATTATTTTTTTTTTCCCTAGGAGTCATTAGTAAATGATTTAATAAGTGAACACAAAATTCTGAGTATAATGTATTTAAGTATTTTCTTTCACTCCTCTATTTGACTCCTGCTCTGCGACTCAATTTAGCAGACCCTTGAAGAACACACTTACCTTTGACAATAGGTTTAAATCCATCTCTGTTTAGGAAGACACTTGAACAAGTGTTTGCTTTAAGTCCGTGTTTGGATCTTACCTCAGATATTGTGCTGGATCATGGGCTTTAGCAGTAAGGTTAACCTTGTGTTTAAATCAATGCACTTGTTGCTTACTTGCGGTTACCAGTTTTGCTCTTGACTCTTTATGACCTTTCCAATAGCACATATATATTAGAGGCACAAGTTGCATTTGATTTCCATGTTTCCTGCAGTTAGGAGCCACTCAAGTGTCTTAGAAGCATCCCCAGCCAGTCTTAGCTCCCGAGCTATAAAATGAGAAGTATTCCCTCCTCTTCCAACTGTTGTCTTATCTTTTGAGTTGTAAATTCTTTAAGCCAAAGCTGCTGCTCACTTCTTGTTCATACAGCACCTCATACCGTGTTTTATGAAGCCAATAAAATGTTAGAGATTAAAATACATGGACTGATTTGTCTCCCACTTACAGCACCAAAGCTGTACATCTAAAGGAACGTTGATGATGCCCACAGAAATGTGCCAGTGGAAGCAATGGTGTGATCCCACGCAAGCTTTGATTTCTAACAGTGGGAAATTCAGAGCTTTCCCATTTTGAATTCAGATCTCATGCACATTCATTGCTGGAAATTCTCTGGGGGTACAGAATAAATAAATAATGGTGTCCCAAAGTTTCAGAGGAGCAGCCATTGCTTTCTCCCTGCTCTTGCTAGCTGCCTCCTGCTCAGCTCTGAGCACTCAGCCCCTTGCAGGGGCTTGGACAGCTCTGAGTCATGCTGCTTGCAATATGGTTCTGCTAAAAATAATAGTAGTAATTAATGCTCTTAGTTTCAGTACTGCCATCTGCCTTGGTGACAGCCACAATGGGCGTTTTCCTTTGTGTTTCCCATAGCAGGAGGGAGGACGGAGAGCTGCTTGTGCCTTCATCTGCACCTCTGCTTCAGTTGCAAATCCCTTCATCTGCCCAGGGATGGGCACTTGGTGCAGGAACAGCAAGAGGCACTCAACTTCCTCAGGGTTAAAGGCAATCGAGCTTAAAAAGAGACACCCATGGAAGAAAATACACAGAGCTATAACTTCTGAAGGCAACACAACTTAATAGCCTAAGACTGAAAGGTGAAGGTCTCGTGAGAAAGGAGAGGTTCTGCATAGTGCAATATTGGAAATCTTTAGCTGTGGACCACATGAGATAATGAGGAGGGAGGGAGGAGTGCTGGGAGTTTGCCTCCATCGCTGGGATGGTGAGTGGTGAGCCCAGGGATTTATGATTCCCCTGTAGCTCTGCAGAAAGGCTGCCTGCCAGGCTGTGGTGTCGGGAGCACACAGGTGGGTTGGAGAATTGAACCAAGGGAAACAGCAGAGCGTTTAACAAACAGCATCACAAAAGGCATCTGCCTCAATACATTGCCTTCTGTTTCTATGAGGAGCCTTTCTCTTTGTCTTGCCTCCTTCCCCTAATTACTGAATTTACTTCCTCTCCCACTGGAGAACAAAAGGGCCACTTCAGGCTGGCAGGAGAGGAAGCGTGTACAGAAGCAGAAGCACTCACCTGCATGCAGACAGAAACAGCATCAGTACAAGTAATCCTTACCCACAGCTGGAAGATGTGGGGGACAGGGAAGGCAGCAGTGTAGAAGGCAGCAAGGACCCCGTTAAATCTCAAGATAGAGAGTTTTTAAGGTGTAGTGCTTTACAAAACCACTTCTGCCTGATCCTTGCAGAGCAAGCCAGCAAAGTCTTTTTCTTCTATCACAGAAGAGGAATCAAACATCAGCCAGCCACATCTCTCCTCCATGGTGAATGACACTTCAGAAAGCAACCTGTTGGTCCTTGTCCTGTCTGCCATGCGTCTGCTCTGAGACACGTATTGTGACTATGGCAAGGAGAAAACAGTTATTCAGGGTAGGGGAAAAAAATGCAAGGTGTTGCAGCAGCCTGCATTTTGATACAGCGCGTCTAGGAAGAATATTTTTGGTAAACCCAAAGCTGCATCCCTCCACCGTGGTCCCAGACCTTCACAGCCCAAGTGGCTGAGATCTGTTCCTTCTTCAGGCCAGATGTTATAGCTGACTCGTGTTACTGGTAATTACCTGGCAAACCACAGGGTTTTGAGGAGTTTGTGTACATCAGGCTTACATTATTGGCTTACCCTCATTCTTGGATCTAACCTTGATGTCTTAAATGGGAAAACACATCCCCAGTTTCCTTCTTCTTCCACAAAAGGTTCTGAAGGGATTGAAGAGGAGAGTTTCAGCTCGAGGGTTTCTCTCCTTTTTAGGGAAAGAACAGAAGTTTTCAAGGTGACACAGTAATGTTCATGGTCTGCCAGTCCTTCAGCCTGCCCATCTCTTGTTGTGGGGGCTCTTTGGGTTGCTTCTGTGCATTTTGCAAGGGTGCCTCTGCCAAAGGCAGGGCAGATGGCTCTATCTCAAAGGGATTTTGAGCCTAACAGGCAGCACCAGGATGGACAGGCTGTGGCTATGTAGAATGCAATGAGTATTCATGTGAGGAGAGATCCCAGAAGGTCAATATTGACTATTCATTACTTACTTAAAATATTTGCCATGCGTTTCCCAATATTTGGGTCTGAGGCAAATTCTCATGACAGAGGTGACCAGCCACAGTATTTGAGTAAAAAACATGATGCTGTCATAAACAAGGACTGAGCCTGTTTCAGAAAAATACAGGAGATAGAATTATTCATTGCTCATTTTCTAGACTTCTAAAAACAAACAAAAAAAAAGTGTGTAAAAATCTGGATCGGATAAATTTCTGCTTCTTAATCACAAAAAGGACGAAAAGTTGCAAGAAATGTCAATTGTGATCAATACTTCAACCAGGGGAAATGGCATGATCGTGAGTGTTGCATGGAATGGAACAGACATCACCTGGCATTTGATGCTGTAGCATGGCAGTTATCCAGACAGCTAGCTCCTTATC